AGCTTCGGCTGATCCATCAGCCGAAGCTGAAGGAAGGCGCTCCTCGCCACCGCCGTCACCTGAGCTTCTAGAGACAGCTCAAGGTCGAGGAGCACTCCTAAGCTGTGAACCCTGTCCCTCAGAGGGAGTGCAACCCCATTTAGGACAAGGCCCAAGTCCCCCATCCCAAGGCCCGAGCCACCCACCAACAGGACCTCCGTCTTGTCTGCATTGAGCTTCAGTTTATTGGCCCTCATCCAGCCCATTACCTCGGCCAGGCACTGGTTCAGTACAGCCACTGCCTCACCTGGATTGATGGAAAACGAAAGGTAGAGCTGGGTGTCATCAGCATACTGATGATTCTGCAGCCCACACCTCCTGATGACCTCCCCCAGGAGTTTCATGTAGATGTTAAATAGCAAAGGGGACAAAATGGACCCCTGCAGAACTCCATGGCATAAATGGCATGAGGCAGAGCCACAGTCCCCCAGCACCACCTTCTGAACTCAGTCATTGAGATAGGAGCGGAACCACTGCAAAGCAGTGCCTCCGACCCCCAATCCCGCTAGCCTATCCAGAAGGATACCATGGTCGATGGTATCGAAAGCCGCTGAGAGGTCCAGGAGAACCAACAGGGCCGCACTCCCCCTGTCCTTCTCCCTGCACAGGTCATCGTACAGGGCGACCAAGGCAGATTCAGTACCGTACCCGGGTCTGAAGCCGAACTGAAATGGGTCCAGATAATCAGTTTCATCCAAGAGTGCTTGGAGTTGTTCCGCCACCACCCGCTCTAGCACCTTGCCCAGGAACGGGATGTTGGCCACCGGTCTATAATTGGCGGCCACCTCTGGATCCAGGGATGCCTTCTTTAGGACTGGCTGGACTACCGCCTCCTTTAAAGGGGCAGGTACCCGGCCATCTCTTAAAGAGGCGTTGACCACCTCCAGGATCCAGGTCCCAATCCTGTCCTTGGCTTTCTTAAGTAGCCAAGATGGGCATGGGTCTAGTAAGCAAGTGGTAGGACGTACTTGTCCAAGCACCTTGTCCACATCATCAGGCCACAACAACTGCAATTCATCCATTAATTGTGGACTTGACGGCGTCGATGGCGTCTCCCCAGTAGAATCTGATTCAATAGCAGAGTCAAGCTCGTGGCGAATCTGTGTGATTTTCTCCCTGAAATTCTTGGTAAAGTCGTCACAGCGGGCCTTCGAGGGTGGCACAAGATCTTTCTTCAGGCCCGGATGTATCAGCCCATGCACCACCCGAAAAAGCTCCGCCGGACGGCATTGTGAGGAGGCAATGGAAACAGAGAAGAATTTCTTCTTCGCCATCCTCACCGCCACAGCATAGGCCCGATAATGGGCTCTTAAGTGTGTTCGGTCAGATTCACCCCGTGATCTCCTCCACCTACGCTCTAGACGTCTCCCAACCCGCTTCATCGCCCGTAGTTCAGGTGTATACCAAGGAGATGAACAGGCTCTGCCAAGTGGGAGAGGACGTTTGGGAACGATCGTGCCAATAGCCCTGGTCATCGCCTCATTCCACAGTTCAACCAGGGCATTGACAGGATCACCAGCCTTGTCAACCGGAAAATCCCCCAGAGCTTCCAGGAATCCATCAGGATCCATCCGGCTCCGGGGGCGGACCAATACAATCGGGTCCACACCCTTGCAGAGGGAAAAGGCCGCTCTCGAGCTCAATCCTTATGAGGAAGTGATCTGACCATGACAAGGGCGTCAAGCTTAAATTCCTCACCCTCAGATCACCCTCTTCCTGCCCCGTCGAGAAAACCAGAGCGTGTCCACGTTCATGGGTCGGGCCAATGACGTGTTGAGACAGCCCCATGGCCGCCATGGAGGCCATGAAGCCCTGAGCCGCCCTGGTTAGAACCATCTCGGCATGGAGATTGAAGTCCCTCAGGACCAACATCCTAGGAGTCTTCAACACCAGGTCCGAGACGATCTCCGTCAGCTCGGGCAGGGAGTCTGTTGGGCAGAAGGGTGCACGGTACACCAACAGAATCCCCAATCTGTCTCAGTCGCCCAACACCAAGAAGGTATATATGTTATTACCCCATGTGAGTATTCTCAGTTGATCAGTTAATTGCAGCTTCTTCATCAAAGGTTTTGAAGGAAATACTCAAATACTTGCAGGAAATTCTCATAACCAACTAACTTTATAGGGTTCAAAGTTTTCCCATATCCCAACGTTTTGAGGACAATCCAGGAAAAAGATAAATCATGACCAAGTTATCATGAAATTACTGGAGTTTTAAGTTAATCCAAATCCCATTTCACTGCCTCCAGCTGGGATTAGCCATCTAACCTTTGCTGCTATACTTTAAGTTGCTTGTGTCTTGCACTGTAATTAAATATTGAATGCACAAATAGGGATTGACAAATCCAAATGAATAAATAAATAAGTCTATCTATTTCCAGTCACCTTCGTTGTCACAATTTTGACCAATGTTTCCATTCCTATATTCACCTGCAATTTTCCCCAACTTACATATTTAAATGCGTCCTTTCTTCCAAAAATAGTTATTTAAATGCATATTCATGATAGTCAGAGGCACACCTCCAAGCCACACCCCCATCAAAGCCACACCTCCAAACAACACCCGTTTCCAACATTAAGCAACCTGCAGCTATACAATAAAAATTAGCTTTGTCACTTGGTCTGAATTTCTGTTGAGTAATGAATGTAAGAGAAGGATTTCTCATTCTGAGGTGAAACAATGACAGCTTCTAGAAGTTATTTCTTATTATCTTATTTATTATGAACAAATTTTATATATATATTTACATTCATACCCCGCTCTCCAGCCAAAAGGCTCCCAGAGTGGCATATGTGGAATTAATTAGGCAGTTCCTGCCCACACACTTACTGTCTAACACCATGACACAAGAGGGGAAAGGGACAGGGAGGGAAGAAGAAAAAGGGAAACTCGGACACTAGTTACCCACATGGACAGAAACAGAAGTAGTTATATTGTCCCAAGAGCAGCAGTCTGGAGTGACAATCATGGTTTGGTTTCTTTGAATTTTCCGTGGCCCCTGCAACCACTGAGTTTGTGTGTGCATTTGCCTGGCAGACCCTCCATGAGTTCAGTGTCCATTGTTTCGGGGTTCCAGTTTTCCAAAATATCCAATATTGTGGTGTTCTCATTGAATCATGCATAAAGAAGACTAACTGAAGTAAGAGAAACTTAAGACTAAGAGAAGACATGGCTAATTTTTTCCCACTGATTCCAGAAAATATACTCCAGTTATATTTTTCTCCCACCTGAGCTGCTATTTCCCCCAAATAATTATGGGACTTAGAGTTGCTAGAAAACCCCTATTGACCCCACAGAGCCACAATTCCTGGAGCGGTTTCTCAGTCAATCCTTCTTCCCCAGGAACTCTGGAAACTGCCTCTCTGTGTGAGGAATAGGCGTCCACCAACGGCACTCCACCACCTTGACAAGCGACGGTCCCCAAGATTCCCTGGGGAAGGACAACTGTTGAAAGTGGAATGCAAGCGTTCTCAATGTGTGGTGTGAATGCAGGGTGCATGGGAGGTGGTTTTTGGAGCAGCAAAGGCAAGCTGACCACACCTGGCTGAGGAGAGAGGCTGATCGGGAGGGAAGGTGTCACAGAAAACACTTGTGCGTGCCTGGCAGGCCTCTCCAGGGAGGGAGTTCCCAGGAACTGTTGTGAATGGTAAAAAACCCCCCACTGCTGTTCTTAACCTGTTACATTCGGGACTCCAGCACAGAGGCAGCCTCCAGTCACAAACCAGTAAAACTAAGTCTGGGAGAGGGACAGAGACCCTGGCTTCAGGGATGCAGCGATCCCCACCAAGGGCCAGTGAGCCGAAATCCGTTAACGTGCGTGTGGACTAAAGATGGGATGGCTCCTTCCCTCAAGTATTCGCAGACTTTCGCTCATGCCTGGCACAGTCTTGCAAAATGAGCTAAGCTGAGCCAAGAGGAAATCCATGAATGCTTGTGGAATGAAAGCTGCACACCTGCTGACCTCCCACCACATCAGGTACAGCCACATGGAGACTGGTGCAGGTGGTGTGGAAGAGAGACGCTGCCAGCAGCTGTGCATGGCTCCATTTCTAGTGAGCCCCACATGACAAACCTTTTTCTGTCAGGTCAGCAGCCCAAACACATGCACAAAACACCACTGGTAGTCAGGTGGGGCTCCATTCCTGCCAGATCACCAGCAGCATCCCTCTTCCATGCCCAAAAGCTGCAGGTGCTGTGGAAGAGGGGTGCTGCTTGTGTAGCAGGGGGCTCAATTCTTGGTGAGCACCCTACGAATAGGGGGAGTGCTCACCTGGAGCTTTGACTCAGGGCTGCTGCAGAGAGGATGGGAATCTGCGGAGCCAAACCCAAAGAATCTGATGGATTCCTACCACAAAATGCATTCCTCACTCATCCCCAACATGGCCAGCAGTTTCCCAACCCTGCCTTAACGCTGCTTTTCTCCTCTGAAAGAACCCTCCTTTTTCAAATGTAGTGCCTTCCTGCTAAGCTGAAAACATACCTTGCTTCTATCCCGCAGCTGAGAAAATCTGTTTACAAGATACACATTTATTCCAGGGCAGCCAAAAGGAATCGCATTTACAGAGTTGTACATGTTTGGTGCTTGTCTAGGAGGAGTCTTCCACACCACGGTCCAGCACACCAACCAGAAATGGTGGCGCTTCTGTACCTCAAGGCTGGAGAAAGATTTGGCTACCCTACCTTGGTTTGGAAGCAGCAGTAGAGCTGGGTTAAGTAGGGATGCTTCCGAGCCAGCGCTAGAATTCGTTTTTCTGTCATTGTACAGTCCACATCGTCATCTTGTAGAATGACATCTTTCTTTAAGACTTTCACAGCATATACTTCATCTTTACCTTTTAGCTCAGCTAGCATAACCTAGAACCAAACACAATATTTTACCAGATTTAAAATCTTAAGTTCATAGGCTGAACTCAGCAAGCACATCTTGTTACATACAGTCCATGTTGGCTGGGTCATGTGAATTAGCTTTCAGATTTAGGCTTGAAAACTCAGGAAACTATTTAGATAAATAGATTTAGACCTCCCCTGCTTTTTTTTTGAGAGCGAGAGGGTGGGCCAGTCTCTCACTTCCAGTGTGCTGTGTAGTAGAAGGAATTGTCCTCAGGTTCTGAAATGCAGGAGAGGAAGGAGCAAGTGGGTGCTGAGTGCTTTGAAGCTCCTTCAAGGTTGCTTAGGTTGCTTGCTCCACATTCACATGGAGTTTGAGAATCAATCTGGTTTGGAAGCCATGGAAGAGTTTTCAGGAGGTGAGGGGAGCAGAAGAGGGACCCAATCCTTGACCTAGTAAGGAAGCGCAAGGAGAGATGATCTGCTCAGCTGGACGGGCTCTGTCGCTCTGGTCTGGAGCTCTTGAGTGGCAAGACCCCCTGAGGGTGAAGCTAACACCTTTCTGAAAGGGAGGGACAGCAGGGAAGTTGCCAGTTTGGATTCAACCTTTCACATGAACAGAGGCTTCTCCTTCTAGCTTTGGTAAAAGGCTATTTAAATGATTCTGACAACTATGGAATTACAATAAAAGAACTGCATCTCAAAGTTATCATCTTGAGTCTCTGGAACTGGAAGGAAGGTGGGAACACACTAGCTCACGACATTCTTGCGTTCACTGCAGGTATTACAGCATTACACCACTGCATAGAGAAGCTGGCTCTCTGGAACATTTTTAATCTGGAAATATTTTTTTCCAAGAAACTTTTCTGTACAAATCTTCCAAGAAACTTTTCTGTACAAATCGCATAGGAAAAGTGGCACTGGAACATTTTCTGGTGCCCTGCAGAGTGATTTGATTTAGTGTGTTCAGGGTGGAATCCTATGTATGTGGAATCCTATGTACAATTCTATTGTCCTTTCTAAATAAGCACCGGGGAGAAGCAGGGGAGGAGACTGGGGCGCTGTCAAGAACCAGTGTAAACGCTGAACCAGGGCCTCCCCCCGACCACCAGCAAGCCCCTTTTCTTCCCTCCAAGATGCATTTCTGATCTCGTGGGGATGCAGCTGGAGCAGCTCTTTCCATGCCTGCTGCAAAGGGGACTGGGCAGGACCTCCGCCTTCAGAGTCTCAGGTCCAAGATTACAGGATCTCAGAGCTGGCACTGTGCATAATCTATGGCTCTCAGACAACATCAGAAGGGTACAGGATTCTGCCCTTAGACTGAAAACATCCTTCATTTGCCAGCATTTCCAAGCGTATTTAGGGAACAACGTTAAAATTACCCCAGGTTAATTCTTTGGCTCAATTAAGCATAAATGTTTGACCTGAAATGTTAGATTAAAAATTAAAGCACATTAAATGTGATTTAAGTATATAAAGGTAGTGCTTTGAATATGTAAAAACAATAGCATGCACTTGCCTTACAGTGCTTAGATTTGAGGGAGAAAAACTAAAATTTTTGAGCTACCCGAAGAAATGTGCCAGCTGTAGTGACAACTGCCCATCCATAATGTTGAAACTGCCAAGCTCACCTAATACTGAATTTGAAGTTGGCAACCTTTCCTTGTGATTGAGCTTATGCAATGGAAAAAAAAGTCCATGGAAAAATAAAGTACTTTAATTTCTTCCACCCCGTGTCACTGCCAGAGCAACAGAAATTTCAAGTATGAATGGCAGTCAGATCTTAACACACCTGCAGAAGCACACTTGGGAGCCGTGGCTTTTGAGTGCACATACAAAAGTGTTCTTGACTTAAGTATTTGCTGTGGTAAATGCCATTGCAATATATGGATCTATTTTTAGACATAAATCAAATCTAGACTCACAACATACTGGGCCAGCAGGATAAAATTTCTTATGGGTTTTGTTCCAAAGAAGATTTTTTATCATGTCTCTCTGGGGCTTTAACACCCCAACTTTGTTGCCACTTCAGATTTCAAATGATTTCACTCCTTATACATGGCCAAGAAAATAAACATCCAATTTGTTCTCCCAGCAAGAAGCCACAACACATCTGCAAGTGAGAGAATGAGATTCGATGCTGCTGCTTCCATTATCATTAAAATCACCTCTGCAACTTTTCTTTATACTGTGGCAGCAGGAGGCAGAGCAAACACAGCCTAGTGTTTACATGCCTTGTTGACTTTGCATTGCTGTTAACCAGAAAAAATATTTGACTTGCAAATTCAAGGCATCTGATGTGAGAACTACCTTCAGGGATAAGAAATGTCATGCCCCCAAGGAGCACTTTCTGTAGACAAGTGCCTCAAGGGATGCTATCAACTGCAGCTCATTTTTTTTTTCATTGGGAGACATACCTTCAACTCACTGACATTAAAATGCAGTTTAGGGATGGGAAATGTATTCACCATCATGAGGCTGCAGAGGGAACGGTCCACCCTCTATTACCATCATGGCTCTTGGCAGTGCACAGGTGGGTTCTGTTTTGAGCTATTCTAAGAACTACTAAATGAAGTGAGAGACTGTCAGAGGTGTAAGAAGACCCAGCCGCAGAGCAGGGATTTACCGCATGGTCTTCTCCATCCAGGTTCCTACACATCAACCTGGTCCAACCTGAGATCCTACAGATGTGCTTGGCTGTGGTTCTTACCAGCTCCTGCCAGGACATGCTGGATTGGAATGATCAGAGTGGGCGTGAAGTACATTTGGAAGGCACAAGGCTGGGGAAGGCAGCTCTGGATCATCCAGCACTGAGACAGCCCCACTTGGAAGGAGTATCCAACTTTTCCCCACTGCACGGGCTTTAGCCTGGTATGCCAAGGAATTCCCAGCATCGAACAGCTCAGAGCCTAACACCACCGGCAATGGGCACGTACATTTTTGGTTTGGTACACAGACTGAAGTGGGGTGGCACAAGAGGTTCCATTTAAATGACTGGCAGCTGACATAATGAGAACCTGGGTAGTGGCTCGGCAGCTGAGTGAAACCCACTTTAGGAGAAGCTCTTGGAAGCTGCGTTCCAGTGCTGGGCAGGACAGCAGGGACTGTGGCAAAAAGCCCCAGCCTGTTTAAGCTTAAGGCTCTTACTGCCCATCACTAAACATTTCAACCTTTTAGAATGGCTGCAAAAGAACAGTGAAAATGAATAGTGGGCGAAAGGGGAAAGGGACATGGGCTTTGGAGAAACCCTGGATGGCTGGGGTTGGGTTACAGGCCTGAGGGTCAACATCCACAGGCTGAAGCATAAGGCTAGATCTGTAGAAACCTGAACTGAAATCCTAGCTGGGCCATGAAACTGACTAGCTGATGTTGACTGGCAAGCTTGGGCAAACCCAAGTACCTCCAACTCCTAGTGCATAGGAAAAGCAAGTCTTTTCTGCGTACCGAGATGGCGATTCCTCTGAATTTGCTGCAGCCCATGGATTTGGCCTAATGCATCATCCCTACACACTCCACTTTTGGCAAACAGTGGGAGGGGTGGGGGCAAAGAAACATGAAGAATCAGAAGGGGCCTCCCAGGCCATCTAGTCTGACCCCCGGCTCCAGCCAGCTCTACTCATGACATGCTCACCATGTGCATATCCAGTCTATCCTTGAACACCTTCACTGATGGGGCTTCAGTCACCTCCCATGGAAGCCCATTGGCACAAAGGCACACAGCAGGCCCAGAGAACTACAGTTCCCATGATGCCACATGGCACAAGTGTGCAGGCAAGGGTGCATTCATGGCCTTCTTGGGCTTTCAGTAAAGTGTGTGTGTGTGTGTGTGTGTGTGTGTGTGAGAACAGAAAGTGAACACAGTCACGCAGCAGTCAAGGCTACCTACCTTTCCAAAGCTGCCTTTTCCTAGCACTTTAATGAAGTTAAACTCTTCGAGGCCCATGCGCTTTGTCTGTGTCTTGACCTCCCCATTTTCACCATTCTCCCCTGGTGTGTTCAGCTGGTTGTCAGGTGAGGTTGTTGCTGCCCCCCTGTGCTCCTCTCCTCGATTGTCAAACGATAATGCTTTCCTGATGTTATTTTCAAGCTCTTTAATTTCTGTGAACAGAGCAAAACATTAATGATAGATCTGGCTATGGCCACGTACGCTTTATCCTGTCCGACAGGCACCCCATCTGAATGACTGTGATACACTTTACTTGGGATGCTGCCCGGGGTATGCCTGAACTCCGGAACTCCCTGCTGAAGGGGGCTGCATTAGCCCCTCGCCTTCCTCCACAAGGTAAAGATAGTTTTGTTCGAGCTTCGTATGTCAGCCAGTGTGATGTAGTGGTCAGACAGTCTGAGAGCCGGTGTGGTGTTGCACTGGGGACATGGGAGATGCAGGCTTGAGCCCCCACTTAGCCATGATGCCCACGGGGTGACTTGGGCCCATCATGGACGTGCAGCCTAAACAACTTCACAGGTTGTTGTGAGGATAAAAACAGAGTGAAGGATCACTTGCAAAGCGGGTGGGGGAAGCAGGCTATAAATGCAATGTAATACTAAAGATAAGCCGGTCTGTTGCTGAACAGATTATTAATTAGTTGGCACTGCTTATTTTTTGTTCTTGTGTTTTTAACAATTTATTCAGATGTTTTAACTGAGGTCTTGTTAATGTAGATCAGAGGTCTCAAACTCGCGGCCCGTGGGCCAATTGCCTGGACAGGCGGGGCATGGGGGAGGGGCCCTGAGGCCTTCAAAGCGCCGGCGGCACCTGGCCGGCCTCCAGATGAGCGGCCCACCACCACCGTGGTGGTGGAATACTTGATGCGGCCCAGCCTCACCCAGACTCTACTTCCAGCGGCCCCCAGGTGAGTTTGAGACCCCTGATGTAGATGCTGTTTGCTCTCTAGAATGCCATCTGTGTGGGCTTATTGGCTGGAGTTAGCAGGATTTGCAGTCCAATGCATCTGGATTGTACCAGGCTAGCTTACAGGGTGCTCCAAGTTCAGTCCCAAGCATCTCCATTTGAACTTTAATCTAAGATCCCTTTTACTCAGGGAAAAGCACCATTCCAGGACCTTGGAGAGCTCCCGCAACAACTGCATCAGGCCAGGTGGCTCAGTGCTCTCAGTCTGTAAAAGGCAGTCCTGCACCTCTCGGTTAAATCAGAGCTAGCAGTGCCACATTTTCACCATGCGAAGAATGCCTCATATTCATCAGTAGGAAATAAACACTAGTGAACCTTGGTCACAGGGGGAGGTTGGTGCTGACTTTGACCGGTCATCTTCTCCTGGTGAGGATCCAGGAACTGGTGGCTGAGATTCTGCACCCGGAACAAGCTAAGAACAGACAAACAAAACAGACTCTTAGCCATTGTAAGGTGTTCTTCTGACATGACATTTATGAGCAAGCAGAGGCAATTCCAGATAACAAAGTTGTTACTCAAAAAGCAGAAGGCAACTGAAAATGCTTGAACTGCCATCTGCATCACAGACAGAAGCGCCGCATTCCATCTTTAAAAAGACATTTTTGCTCTAATTGTGTAGAAAATTCAATTCGCTTGATAAGGGACATTTTTGGCATCATGGAGTACACTTGCCAAATGCGCAGGAAAAAGAATCTAGTTCAAACTCAAGTTAAGCCATGCACAGGAACCCTAAGCCGCCCGCTCCCCCAAAGACACCATAATTTCTGAATTTAAGTTATTTTTACTTTCCTGTCCTGAATTTCAGTCCCAGCTGCATGAAAGGCCCTTGTTCTCTGAGCCCCACTCAAAACACAAGTGTGATTAAATATGAACAGGACTTTGGGTGGATTTGGGCCAGATTTGGCACTGAGAAAAATTAGGATGCTTAACGTAATGCTGAGCAGTGCCAAACGTACATTTCATTTTGCATGAATGGTGCTAGGAATACGCTGCAACGGGACGTGACGCAGCTTTGTTGCCCAGGCTGGAGAGGTCCTGCCCTATAAGTTACCTGGGTGGGAGATCAACTGGAAACTAGGCAAGTCTTGTTGGGACTCTTCAGAAGAAGGAAGGGCTATTAGAACTACTCAGTGAAAAGGATGCGAAGCTGCTGATGGCTAACAAGTCGCATATCCTGATGCACCAGGATCTTCCATTACTATCACCATTATTCATGTTCATTTCCTGCCTTCATGGTCCTCCTTCTAATTCATCCTGTGAGGTAGGTTAGGCTAACAGCGAAGGGCGTAAGTCACCCACTGAGCTCCATGGCTGAGTGGCAACTCTGCTCATTGCTCTAGCAGAACTAGGAGGCAGGTACAGGGGGTCTCCAGTGCAGCATTTGGTGGCAGGTGTAAGGTAGGGGGTGAATATCAAATGTATTTCATAATTGGGCCCCCAGATTCCAGCTTGCTAGCCCCACACTACTGTGGACCCAGTGTTGTATGAGTCAAGCCAGCTCGTGGAAATCTGTCACTAAGATGGGCTGCACATTGTACATTTTTCTATTTGTGCAAACTGGAAGCTAAAAAGCTTTTAAAAATACAGTCTTAGCACAATTTGCACGAAATGTGTCAGAACTGCATAATTTCTGACTTCCAGATTGTGCACACAGCACCATTTGTGCAGACTGCACAAGTAACGAGATGTGTGCAAAGTCCCTTAGCGTTTTTTAATGCAGAAACTGTGGCTTGTTCTAGTTCATGGGTGTGGGCGGGGGGCGGGGACCCTGACTCAGCCTGCTTCTGACTATTGGATTGGAAGTGGGCAGAAAGTCCATTGAGCAAAAACAAGCTGGACTTCACAGCATCACCACATGCAGGAGCGACAGTGGGATTTTCAATCCCCGAAATCCCCAGAAAGCAACTGATACTGCTTACCAGAAAGGACACCTGGCATCTGAACACAAAGGCTGCAATCCAGTGCATCCTTAGCTGGAGGAAAGTCCCACGGAACTGACTAGGACACACTTCTGGATAGCCACAGGTAGGATTGCACTGATGTTATGGGTTATTGCACTCATGTTATTGCACTAACTCTTGGCACAATTGTTCCTATGCCATCTTGGGTCGATGTGACTTCGCAACTAACAACATCTTTCTTCCTATCCTGATGTACAAGCAAACAGAATCTGTGCAATGACTTTGCAAGCATCTGCTGAATTCAATTCGCTTTCAAAAGAATGGTATTTCAGTGCCTTTCCATTTGTCATCCCCGTAATGTCACAGAGGGCCAAAGGGAGCACTGGAAAAGGAATGATCTCTTGCCAGCTTTGCAACCAGATAAGAATATTTATGTTCTCATGAGGTCCCAGAAGGGGACTTCAAAGTTAGTGACACTGATGTTTACATGGCTTCCTGACAAGAACGATTCCTTCTGACAATTGAAAATAATAAAGCCCTTTGTGACCTCACTTCTACTCAGGTCAAACCCTGCTCAATTTGTGTTGTTTCAAATATACAACTTAGATGCTATATTTAATGCGTGACATGCAGCTTTGTCGTCTGATTTTCTCTAAGTAGTTTCAGCTATGGGAGGCTCTGGGGGAGAAACTTGCACAGCACGTTATTTCTGTCCACTGGCAACTGGACCTCTTATATGGCCAGGGACATTAGGAAGAAGTTCCCACTGAGAGCTTTTTAATTAATGTTATTTGCTGTGTAGGTGAGAAGATATTCAAGGGCATGGCTGGATAGGGAAGGGATCAATCTCACCCCACCATGCTGCAATTCCCTCACCCCATCTTTTTTCTCTTTTTAATGAGTGAAAATGATAAGGTGAAACTGCATACTATGTGATGTGAAGGAGTGTGTAAATATATACATATTTTTCTGCAAAATTATGCAAGCCTGTTCTTCTTACAACCTCAGGTCTGACTATGAGAACTTGTCTACTGAATATATTCTCAAAGGTCAAAGAGCAGATTTCCTCCAGAAACTAAATCAGCCCTGCTTTGCACAAATTTGGGGATTTTTGTGCCCCATCTACATTTAATTACTAATTATTTTACGTAATTTCCCCATCTGAGCAGTAAGCACATATGCAGATCAGGTGTGGGACAACTAGAGAGCTGATGGTCAAAGAATCTTGGTGAGCTCAAATATCACTCATTCATGCTTCCTAATGGGAAATTTGGCCCAAAATCCTTCTGGAGCTTCTTCAGCTGTATATTTGAAACCACACGAATTGAGCAGGGATGATTCCTTTATTATATGGATTTCACGATCCAAGCCACTTGCTCTCTAGTATCAGCATAGACTGCAAGCAGGTAATTAGTAGTATCTGGAGGAGAATCGTAGTGTGTTACTAAGACACACACAGTCACAATCCTTTACAATCAAAATGTCCTGCCTGAAACCTTGCCAATCAAAACAGATGATGCCGGGGTATGGGAACGAAGAATCTGACTTAACATAAAGTAACATCATGTATGTGGTTCCATAGACAAAATCCATCTCTCAAAGCAGGTATCCTGAGCTGACAGCCCGAACTACACAAGCAAGGGAATTCAGAGTGTTTCAGCCAGGAAGGATAGTATATGGCCAGAAATCAGTTTTTTAAATCTCCTTCCCATGCTTGGCCCTGGCCAAGAAGAAAGTCAAACTAGATCAAGTGTGCAGATGCTTAGGAATGCAGGGGGGCCCCTTCTTTGTGCCACGTACACGAAGTCCACAAGTCATGTGTGCGGAAGCTGAACTCTGCTTGCACTGAGGGCGTGTGGACACTGTGTGTGCAAACTGGTCTTGTGGACTCATGGGGACTCGCTTTCTGCTGGGTGACCATGCAAATCCTCAGTGTGAATAGGAATTAGGGCAGAAAGAGAGTAGGTTGGAATTCCGGGAGAGAAGCCAAGGAAATCAGACAATTTGCACCCCCAAACCAGATTCACACATGGCTGTTTTCAGCAATACCACCGTTCTGAGTACCCCAAGTCATTCGTTTGCCTGGGGCTGAGACAGCTGCAATGCAGAAACTTCAGCATCACGACAGTCGCTGCTGTCGCTCTTTGTTTTGTTGCTGCAGCCACTCTTTCTTTGCCTTGCTGCACTCCTGGCCAAGGAAGAGCCAGGAGTGGAGGAAGAGCCACTGCTGCCTTTGCTCACCTATACTAGCAACACTGGTTTGGTGCCATGTTTTCTCCGGCAGGAACTGCTCTTCCCTGATCAGCTAGGAAGAAGGGAATTGGCCAGCTGGTGCGTATATCGGCTGCCTAGGAAAAGAGTCCTTACAAGCAGAGAGATCCTAAATCCCTCATCAAGGCTGCAATCCTAACCACAGTTACAAGGCAACAGTACGTAAATAACCATGCTTACTAGGCCTTCCATCTTACATATAATTGTACTGTAAAATTGGAAGTATGTATGAAATGGCCCTGTGTGTCTCTATGGAACTATGTACTACACCCACTTAGGGCAACCAGCCAGCTAACTGTTTGCATGGCCAGTTTCTCCAGGATGACAGAAAGATAAACCAAGAGTTCCTAATCTCACAAAGAGCTGCGTATAAATACCAGCTGGATGGCCTTTTGCCCATCATGAACATGGGACCGGGATCCCAATGGGGGTAGAATCTCAAAGGAAAAGAGAAAGGGCAAGCACCTGCCAGCCTTTCCCCACTGCAAACCATCCCTTCCCGAAAGTGCTTGGGGCTAATGCATACAGCTATGGTGCTATCTGCCATTTCTCTCCTAGGCTTTGTTTCCCTTGGATTCATGCTCTGAACATGCAGAGAAAGGCATTCTGGAATTGGGATTCTAGTGTGTTTGCAGAAGCAGCCTCAACATTAACTTTATCACTTCATCCAGCAGTCATGGCTTGCTTTTCACTTCTACTCCAGACCCAGGCTGGGACTCCACTGAGGAGGGTAGTAGACTCTGAAGATCTGGATGGGGGCCTTGCAGCTACTTTAAACAGTGAAAAATTCACAGCTGCTAGATGCAGATTTACAGTAAAGCCTCTTTTGGCCCTCAAGGCCACAGATTTCAAAAACACAGTCAAGTGACTTAATTTGCTATGTATTCTGCAAAAAAAAAAAAAAAAGTTGGTACTCTTTTTTTTCTTTTGAAGGAGCAAAAAGCCATTTCCGCCCCCCTGGCTTGGAAGTTAGGAAGGTGTTCGTATCATAGATGCCACGGGGCAGCTGCTTTATAAAGCTTGTCTGAATTAAGTGTTCTCCCTCCCTTAGCAATGCTTAAGAATGCTTATGCTTATGACAAGACATTTGCATTTAATCACATCAAGTCACTGACTGCTTCTCGTGGGGGCTGATACCATGACAGAGATACAGGGAAGAATGCACCGCTGAATCTCTGTTATTGCTCTGTGTCACTTTTGCATGCTTTCAACTAGCATTCCTTTCTACTTGCATATCAATCAGTAATTTCCGCCCAAAATATGCAGTTGAGTATTTTAACAACATTTCTAAATGCTTCACTTGTTGAGAACTGCTCTGTAATAATTGGGCAGAGCTGGGAGATTCTTTCCAAGTCTTTGATTCCATGAAACCCAATAGAGAGTTAAGTTCCAAGTCGCACACCTGTGTCAGGTCATTTTGTACAGGACATCCCATGTAACCATTCCTCAAACTTCCCTGAACCACCTATAATGTGTGCTCAGGTTGACAGAGAAGAAAGTGCATGCATTTATAGTACAAGACAATTCCTTTGGTTACCTTCTTCCTCCTTTGTCCACTATTAGTGATCTTATCTGGGGTGACACCAAGATCTGCAAGGACTTTAGCTATCCCTCTAGCATCCACTCCACAGTTGGGAGCCACGTTTGTTTCACAGCGTCTATGTACATTCATCTTGCAAACTGTAAATTATAGCAAGAAGGGAGAAACACAGAGAAGTGAAGGTGAAATTAGATTAAGTTGTCTTGCGATATCAGCATAGATCATCTATCTCGACTATAAACTCCTGGAGTGTAGCAATATTCCTTGTAATGAGAAAATGATTTTGATAGGAAAAGGCAATGCAGCTTAAAAGAGGACTTGACTGGCTCAAGGGCTGGAGCAAAGAACAAGATGGCTCCCCCTCCCCTTTCAGTGTACAGACACCACTGGACTGGCTGTAGAGCCATGCCAGCGCCACTGATGCTTAGAATGGTCTCCCCCCCTCACCACCCCGAGGCAGCAGGCTAGCTTAGGAAGCCCCAGACAGCTGCAGCCGTATATAGGCAGCCTCTGAGAAAAAGGCGAGAGAGGGCCTCCAAAGCAACACCATAGAGAGAGAGGAAGTGAAAGGGGAGAGAGGGAGGCCTCCATAGCATTACCATAGAGAGAGAGGCGGGGAAGTGAAAGGGGAGAAAGGGAGGCCTCCAAAGCATGCCTTCTCTGCCCCACCCATCCTGAGAGGGAAATCTCTCTGGCATTTCCTTGCTGCAAAGAGTTTGGGGGGGGGGGGGGTTAGAGATATTTGGTTTTTTTTCCACTTTCACAGGAATCCTGCACCCTTAACCCCCCACCCCAAATGTGGAGGGCTGAGTAAATGTGATCCAACTCACATATATATTTGACTTAAAGATGAATTTCCATTTTCTCAGGGACAGAATTCACTTGTAACCTGGGGACTGTCTGTACATAGCTCTGTCCTCCACTACAAGGTAAGGGATGTAAACTCAGGAGAAATTGTGAGGGGGCTGTTGCCCCCAGAATCATCTGCCTGAGGCCATTTCTTCCCTCTGCTGAGTGGTAGGAGTGGCCCTGAGACAGGCACCATGCTCAGGGGCGTTCTTAGCAAGCTCAAGAGGGCCACATTTCTACACTGCAAACTGTAGAAATACCTTTCTGGGGGTGCTGTTTCTAACCAATTCTGGAAACCTACCCTGCCCCTGTGTGCCCCAAAATGGACTTCCTCTCCTCCCTCTGCACTTGAACAGGTCTTGTTGCAATGCCACCTCTGATCTATGGCCCTACAATACAATACAGGGCTCTTTCTGCATCCCTTATTGTTCCTATTTTCTTCCCTGCCCTCTACTGCAGCCTCTTCTCTTGGCGAACACATGAGAAATTCACTGTAGTTCATTTTTAATCAGGTTTTATCCAGCTTGCATTTTGCAGACTGCCTGGGGACTCGGACACAATCTACCACTGGGGTCCATACATTTCTGAGCTCACAGTGCAATTCCCAGACTCAAATATACCTGATCAGCACCATGCATACATTTTTTTTAAAAAAATGCACGCAACTCAGTGGAAAGAGAACACGTACATTCTAAAGATGCACAGACCCGATGCTGCCATTTGGGGAAATGCCCACAAAGTTTCATGTAAAAATAAAAGAAACAAAGTCCACAAAGGCTCTAGTGGGAACAAACTGTGTGATGGAATTTAGAGAACGTGAGTTTTGATGATTTTCGCATCCCTGCATCTCTCTTTTCTTTCTTTACCATCACAATGTCTGTTGCATTTCCCTTCAGTCATTTATTAGCTCTGTTTCTCTGCTCTTCCTAACTTCTTATCTCTACCCCTATTTTGAAAAACTACTTTTGAGTGTGTTAAGCTGCTGTGAGAAAATTCCACCTTTAAAGGCAGTGCGATAAATAATTTTAGATGGATATGTAGACAACTGTATCATCATCATCCATTTCCTTCCTATATCACCCAAAAACTTAAGCTGTCTGGGCAGTGCACGATTCATAAACACAGATACAATAATAAAAAATGGATGACAATAAAAGTGCAAATACAACAACATAAAATTCCAATATACAAAATGTTAACAGTCTAAACTAAAAATGATTTCAGTAAAAATGAAAGCTGTTCAAGCAGTGGGAAGATCGCTGCAGAACTGAGGGGCTACCACTGAGAAGACCCTCTTCCTTTGTCACTTTCCTCCAGGCCTCCCTTCGAGGTGCCAGACACAATTCCTCTCCCAACAGTTTGCACATGACACTTTCACTCCCATTGCTGAGAAGGACTCAGAGACAGGTCAGTGGAGCATCCCGCTGCCTGCCTTCTATGCGCAGGTAAAGCTGAAACCCACTCGATCATGTGCCTGCGATCCTTGACAGAGAGGGAAGGAAGGGCAAGCCCTGCAGATGCAGCTAACAGAAGCATTTTCCCACAGCTGTGTATCTGGACTTGGCCTGGCCAAAGAGGACAGCAAGAAAAAGAGTGCTGCCCCAGGGAATCGGCAGATATCAAGGACATACTCAGCTCTTGCTCAGCTGTACAGGCTGAAACTAAGAACAGAACATGCTCTGTATTCCTCATATGATAACTATTCCAGGGAGTTCTTCTTTCAAATATAGAAAAGGAAGCAACAGTCAGCCGAGTTCAAATTCTTTGTTGACAGCTCAGCAAAGCTGTGTGTTACATTATATCTGAGCGCCACCTAGTGGAGGAAAAGCATTGCATGCGTGGCGGGGGGAGCATTATTTTCCTTTGCTCTCTAAATGAGCCTGCCTCCTCCCCATCACCACTCTCCATGCACCCACCAAATCTGCTCTGCAGGGGAGGGCTCCTCCTTGGAGCAGATGTGGAGGGCCTATAGCTGGGTGGGGGCGGCAGGGCAGAGGAGGGCCTGTGGGAGTCCTGTCCTGCCACTGGCACTCTGGATCAATCCCAGTGAGTGTCCGGCTATGGGTGGATGAGGCCCCACACAAAGCTAACCTAAGGGGCAATCCAAAAAGCAAGTCAGTAACCAGGCAATGGGCAGGAGCGGTTTTGCCAGGGGAGAGGGAGAGTTCTGAGGTACACAGAGAGGTCTGAGATACACAGATAAAAGAGAGGTCTGAGATACACAGCCCAAAAAGCAGAGTCGAGCAGGAGTTCAAGGTTGGCAGCAAAGATTAACCGGCAGAGCACAGTCAGAACAAAAAGTGCCATGGAGCCGGCAGAATGCAGGTCAGGCTGATAGTGAAGGTCAAATCGTTGGAACATCCTGAGCCCCACTCAAAGCTTAGCTGAAATTATTACAGGCTTCTGGCAAACGTTCTACCAGAGACAGGCCTTGTTACCGAGGAAGCCTTTTCTACAAGGAGGAAGTCCTTCACCTGGGCACAGTCTGACTGGTGGCTCAGCATCACCCTCTGATTTGGAAGCAACACTTAGTTATTCATTTCATTTTGTGCCACCCGATAGCTGAGGCTTTCTGAGCAGTTAACAAACATTTAAAACACACAAAAAGAATCCACATAAAACAGAGGGAATACAGAGGGGAAATCTGTAGTCCTCTCTCCTGAGGCCCTTAGTTTCCCAGGCCACTTTGCTGCAGGAGGTTCCAGAACAACACCTGAAGAGGACTCCATCAGAGGTAGCACAGCAATGTGTTGGCTTGTGAGTTAGGCAAATTACCTGGTTGGGTAGTCTTGCTGCTTGCTAGAATTATACAATGACTAGGTTCAGATGACATAACCCACACTCAAGTATTGGGCATGGATTGTCATTAAACTCTGGGTTGGTTATCATTTTGCCTGAATCCAGTCACACTAACCATGGCTTGTTAACCATGAACAAACGATGAAAACCCGTGGTTTGTTGTCAGGTGGTTTGTTGTCAGGTTTTGCCTCATTGAAATCAATGGAACATCAATGGAAATGGAAAACACAGTCAGGCCTCTGCAGTACAGTGCAGTCAGCTACGGCCAAGCCCAGCTCCCAGGCAGGAATGTGCCTTACCTTTGCATTGTAAACCTTGTCTCAGGAGTCCCCAGAGCAATGAACCACAGTGGTCACAGAAGGTGGGCACTTTGTAATTGTGAATGCTGAACTTGTGTGGCATGTTGACACTGAAGCGCTGGGAGCCCACCTGGAGGGAAAAAAGCCACACATGGGAACACAAAAATACCAATACCGCCCTCCTCTTGTGACTCTTCCAGTCAGTACCATCGTAGAATCTTAGAATAGAAGAGCTGGAATGAGCCATGAAGGCCATCGGGTCCAACCCCCTGCTGTTGCAGGACACCAAGTTACACCACCCCACTCAGATGGCCGTCCAGTTTCTTTTGGATGCCTCCAGTGTGGGAGAGCCCAGCACCTCTCTAGGCAGCTGGTTCCACTGTCGTATTGCTCTGACAGTGAGGAAGCTCTTCCTGACGTCCAGCCTGAATCTGGGTTGTCGCAACTTGAACTGATTATTCCGTGTCCTACACTCTGGCATCAGTAAGAAGAGATCTTGACCTTCCTCTTTGTGACAGCCTTTGAGGTACTTATAGAGGGATATCATGTCCCCCCTCAGTCTTCTCTTCTCACTGACTTCCAAGTGAGTGAGTGTGAGAGAGAGAGAAGGGGTGTGCACTTGTGGGTAAGGAGCAGAAATGAAAGATTGCGAGAACATTGTGTGTGTGTGGTTGTGTGTGCATGTGTATGAGAGCAAGTGAGTGAGAGCAGGAGATTACAGGGTGGTTCTGTTCTATACTTGGGGAGTTAGTACAAGGTGTCTTTGCATCACGGTGCAATGAGGCAATGCAGCCCTCGCGTGAACGGGCCTTCCCGACCATGTGCCACAAAGCATCAGCACACACAAGGGGGAGCGCTCAGCAAGCTTGGGGAATACCCAAGGTTTATAGAACTGGGGGGGGGGGGGCACCCCCCCACACACAATGTCAACTGAGCATGATCAGTGGCCCAGAATGCTGACTGAAACCTATGCATGTTGGGACAGCATGGTGGGGGATGCTAGGAACTGCAGGGCTTTTTCAGTCTAAACATGCACAGGACTGCAATTCCATCTGGACAGAACATGGCTGGCTGGCTGGCTGGCTGGCTGGAGCCCTGAAGGGCTGTATTTCGTCACACTGCTGGTCCCACTTGTGTAGCCACAAAGCCAGCTTGTAATATTCCAACACAGTCCAGCTTGACTTGGAAACAGAACTCAGGATGCTGGCAGAGGGGTTATAGAGGGGACCGGGTGGTATTCAGCAATTAGGAGTAGGGTTCATCCTTGCTGGGCTCTTAGTTTGGCCCCCTTTCCTTCTCCCAAATGAATGCATTTGCACAAGATCTGATTCCCTCAGTCAGTGGATAATGGAATGAAACGTCCCCGAGAATTCACAAAACACAAGCAGACTGGCTGTAACAGGGCATGTTCTTTGCACACAGAAGCTCCAAAGTCCAATTCCTGCTGCTTCCAGTCCAAACTGGTCAACTGAGTCCTGTCTCAGCTGACCAGGAAGGCCACTGTCTGAGATTGCAGCTTGCCACCGCTTATCCGAGTGGCTAATCCTGCACTGGCTGATCCAATAGCCTGACTCAGCATCAGGCATTATCTTACGCTGATAGCAACTGAAGATTCACCGGGGCTGGAATGAGTGCCAAGGGCCAGTCCTATCATCCCAGCATTCTCCAGCCAGTCATGCTGTAAGTCCTTTCTCAGTGGTGCTGGCTGAGGAATTGCTCAGAACTGCAGGAATCTTTTCTGCCTAAACATGCATAGAATTGTGCCTTTAAGGGAAGCTTCTCTGCCATTTCTGATCTTAATGCAAACCCTTCTGTCACTTAAAAGAAGTATCTATGTCATACAGAATACCTTCTGGAGCCATTGCAATGGATCGTGTTTGCATCATAAACAACCAACTGGTTGTTTAAGAGAGTTCCCAGCGCAAGTGTAAATAAGTTGCATGCTTCCGACCCCATAGCCCATGAGCCTCTTTTCCCTTTTATCCAGGAGTCCGTTAAACAACAAAAGCACACATTCAGACATGTCTCACAACTTCCTGGATCCTAAGAATATAAATCAGAGTAGGAATTCTTTATTCTCTGCTAGCCGAGAGGCAGGGTGGAGGTGGGAAGATCACCATGACATGAGGTATCAAGTTTTTGGAAAGCATGAACATGGGGCTACGAGGCTTAAGGCAACGCCGAGGAGGAGCGTGCGATCTTATTTGAATTAAGGCCGTGAGAATGCTATGGTGGGGGTTGAGTGGCAGAGGGCTGAAGCGCCACAACATCTGGATTTGCAGCGATGACTGCCAGCCAGCCTCCACCCAAGCTTCTCCATTCCCCTTGAATTTAGCAGCAACCTCAAAGTTGCAGGGAACTGCAGTGAACAGTTGCGAGCAAACGCAAACGATTTGGGGGTGGGCTGATGTCGGACGAACATTTAAGACCCATATGCTTCCGAAGAGACAGCTCCTAGTGGACACCTCTGCTGGGAATGGGATCTCCCTTTCTCTTTCTAAGGAATATTTTTGGCCAGATTTCCCCCCGGCATGTCTTGCAAATGGTGATGAACTCTGGGGAGATGTGGGATGACATGGGATTCTCCCATGCAGTGAAGAACGCACTCCCTCGGTCCGGGTCAATGCAGGCAGCTGGGGTTACAGCGCGGCAGCCTGGGGGAAAGTAACAGCCGTGGGATTTCACTGCTGCACTCGGGCTGCCAGGAGCACCACACCTCGCACAACTCAATAGGGAAGAAGTGTCTCTTTGGGTGCTAAGCTGTGAATCTCCACCTACGCACAATATGCACATTTGTAAATAAATGCAAATCTTACAGAATGGTTGACGCTTCCAGTGATGTGATTCAAAGGAAACGCTTGCACCGCTCGGAGGATTAGGGTGCAAGCGCATAGCACGAAAACTAAGGAGCTAATCGCTTAAATCAAGGAAGGAGGAGCAGGATGTGACCACAAACGGGCTGCTGCAGAAAACAGTGGCTCTGCCCCTAACCCTCCCTCCTCTCCTCTGTAGCAAGAGACAATGAAGCATGTGCTACGTGGCACCTTTCCCTTCCCTGCCCAGGACTGGCTGCATCTGGTGAAGGCCGATCTCAGTGGTCTGGCACTGCCCCCTTCCCTGTGTTCCTTGTTGCACGGCTCTCCCTCCTACTCCTTGTTGCGCAACTTGGCATGATATTCCTGCACTTACAGCTGGGAGCAAGCCTGAGGAGGCCCGTGGAGCCCGGTGGCTCTGATGTGATCTTTACAGAAATTATTCTTGGTGCTGAACGGATGCACAGGACAGGCCGTACTGTCTGGCAGAGAGAGGCAGTCCCTCGAAGCTCTCTTGGAAAATCTGCAAATTGTTCTCTCAGAGGGGCCGTAACTGAGTGGTAGAGCACCCCTTTGAGATGTAGAAGGTCCCAGGTGTCCTCCCAGCATCTCTGGGTAAGGCTGCAAGACCTCCAGCCTGGAATCTGAGATCCACTATTAATTGGTGTGAGTCGCTGGCCTAGAAGGACCACTAATCTCACTTAGAGCGAGGAAGCTTCCCATGCTATCTATTTAAAGCATGGTCCTAGGCATGCTGACACTTCCAGGACCTCTGTAACATTTCTGAACTGACCAAAGAACTTTGGTCTTTGGGTAGTACAGAAATGAAATTAATAAGTATAGTAATAAGAAGAACCATCTGCCTTCATACGCGTAATTTTATTCTTGTATTTACTTGGCCCAAGAACTGATCAGATGTTCTGCCGCACAGGTCAAAATAACGAGACCAGCCTTGGGTACTGCAAACTTCGACTCCAGGGAAGCAGATGCTCTGAGCCTGACGGGGTCACAGTAGGACGTTCCTTAATGCGAGTTGTGGAGAAGAGAAAGTTGAACAAGGAAGGGCCACCAGTTCTGGTGGCAACCCCACGAGCGGGCAGCCTCAAGTGCTCCTTGGAGACTTCGGCACTTATGGGATTGTGGCCTCACTGTGCCGCACTTGGTTTCTTTAAAGCAGACAATTACAGCAGCCTAGAAATTTGCTGCAGCCATTCTCTGGCCGTATACTAGAGAGACCAGAATGATGCAAACAAGACCCATTTCTCTCTCTCTCAGCAGTGAACAATCTTTTTCAAAAAATGTCCCACAAAAAGGCTTCCTGTTATCTAGATCGTTCTATAAATATTTACCTCGTCATGAGCTTCCTGCTTCTTCAAGCCGGCGCATTTTGTTATTATAAGCTCATGGCACCTCTTGTGGACGACGCAAGTGCAAACTGTGAAAGAGAGAAACCGGGACAGCCTGAGTTTCCACAAAGCCAATGTTCTCATTTTGCCCACAGTGCAGGAACTGAAATAAAACGGGAAAGCCTAAGCCAGGGGCAGGCAACCAGAGGCCTTCCAGGTGTTTAGAGGAAAACTACCACAATGCCCATCCAGCAAGGCCAGTGGACAAGGATTGTGGGAATTGTAGTCCAAAGCATTTGCTGGCCACAGGGGAGCCTACCCAGGGGGTTTCGGCTCCACCCCTGGTGTAAACAGCCCTGGATGACACTCACAAGGATGGAGGGTTTGGAGGTGTTATAACTTTGGTGCCTTCCAATGTGAGTATTTTGACATGGTCTCGTGGACTGTTATGATTATATTTTATATATATTTTGACCTCATTGTTGAATTTATATTGCTTTTAAAAAAAGCAATGGGAGAAAAACGATTAAACTAAGGGCACAAACCTATGCATATTTAGACCATAAAAGGCCCGTAACTCCTAGCATTCCACAACTAGCGCTCCTGGCTGAAGCTGGAGTTACAGGAGATGCTTCTGATCCAAGCATGCAGAGGATTGCACCCTGAAAAAGCACTTCATGTGAACATGGCCCGGATCTTCACTAGGCCTGGTCCCAAGATGACGTGGGTCTTTTCAGAGTGACCCAGCACATGTGGAATATGCGGCCACCAATGGTCCCTCAGGTCCTACAACTGCAGCCTTTGACGAAGGTCTTGAAAACCTACATGTTTACTTAAGACAGTCTGATTAAGTGCGCATGCTGATTTGGAGTGTTCAGATTGTGGGTGCAATTCAGTCTGGACATATACTACCTAAACCGTACCAGTTGCACTGACTACTGGTATATTCCTAAACCCAATTTAAGGTGCTGATTTTGACCTTTAAAGCCTTAAACTGTTTGGAACCAAATTATTAGAAGGACTATCTTCATTCAGATCAGTTTGCCCCAATTTGAGATCAGTGAAAGAGGCCCTTCTCATCCACCCACCTCTGAGAGTAGTTAGGTTGGTGAGAGGGCCTCCTCTTCAGTGGGCCGCACACCTCTGAAACAGGCCTCCATCACGGATTGCCATGCTCCAACATGGCAAGCTTCGAAGAAGGCCCCTGAAACATAATATTTTACTCTAGCCTTCTAATAGGGTAGCTATTTTCTTGCTAGCTTTGTGGTTGGTTTTTATAGCTGCTTTTATTGTTTTCTTAGTATTTTATTGTGCTTTTATCACTCTTAGAACTATGTTAATTTTATGTATTTTACTGTTGTACTATGATTTGGCAAGATTTCTGCCCTGAATTATGGGAAGAAATATTTTAGCAGCAACAGCAGCAGCAACTTTTGCAAAACTGGTCTAGTTTGTTGTTGCAAACTGCCTTGGGAGGGAGCTCCTACCCTGAAAGGTGGCCTAGAAATATTTAAAAGAAATAAATACATGAATACAGTGGACAAAGAAGCAACGTGCAAAATTTGGATGTGGACTGATACACTTTTGTCTTTGCATTAAGGCAGCCAGGCACCGACTGGATGCTCAGACTGCTCCGCCTGCACACTGCCCACAGCCTGCATTCCTGAAACAGCTGCTGATCACTTTGCCAGCCCGCATGGGATGCTTTTATGAGCCACCCCTGTCCTACAACAGTGCACCCACTTCTGATGGTAAAATCTGGCCTTGCAATCGCCTTCACGCCCCTCAGTTCAGCAACTCACCTCCTACAATGCAATGCGCTCTACCTGGGGCAACCCCTGAAGACGGTTCAGATACTTCAATTGGTCCAGAATAGAGCTGCCAGGTTATTAATGGGGACCGGCAGATGGTCCCATATCACATCGGTCCTATATCATTTACACTGGCTGCCAGTTGACGTCTGGGCCCAATTTAAGGTGTTGGTAATGACCTATAAGCCGTAAACGGCTTGGGTCCTGGATGGATACCTGAAGAAGTGCCTTCCTCCCCATGTGCCGGCACACCCCTTGAGATCGGAGGCAGAAGGGCCTTTTCAGTGGTGGCATCCTGACTGTGGAACACGCTCCCCTAGGGAGGTTCGTCTGCTGCCATCACTCTATTCTTTTCGGCATTAGGGGAAGACCTTTTCATTTTCTTGGTATTTTAACAATTAATTGGTTATATCCTTGTTTTTACCATTATTTATTGGATGCAGTGTGTTGTGTGCTGCTGTTGTGGTTATGGTTTCTTTGTTCTTTGGTTTTTTGTTGTTTGTAAGCCGTCCAGAGAATTTTAGTAATGGGACGGCATAGAAAAACTTTAAATAAATAAATTCAGAATTGCTGAATTCACAGCAATTCAGAATTCAGAGGAGGAGGACAGAGCTACAGATTTTCGTTTGCCAAGTCTGGAGGGAGCCCATGTGGGCTGCACACAAGGAACAGCTCTTCTGCATGCAGAAAAGAACTAGGGGATCAGGGACATGGCCCAGACTTGTCCAGATGTATTTCTCAAATCAGAATCAATTGAGAGGCACACAGAAAAAGCTCTTCCCAGGTGCGATTGCCTCTAAGCCATCAGTCACCCTTCTGTTCCAAGGGCCAATGCACAGCAACCCTGCTAGCTCTTCATTATTATTTCTAATATATGCAATGCATATTACACACACGTGTAATATTTCATATTGAAATATGTAATTAATATTTCTAATATATATGCAAAGTTGCTTACCTTGACATTGGTACCCTTGCTTTCCTATCACTCCCCTGCAAACAAAAACACATACAGACCAAATCAGGAGCTGAAAACAGAGTTCAGACCAATGCTCACATTGCCACAGGAAAGAGAAATACGGCAGATGACTGGGGTGTGCACGGCATATGCAGAACTGCACTGGCCACATTCCTATTTATTCAGGAACACTGTTCTCTTAGCTAACCAGATGGAATTTTCCAGGCTGAACCTTGCTTTTTGCTTGTTTCCCTCCCACATCTTCCTACCCTCCCTCCCAGCTATTCTTTGTTCTGTGCCAAAAGTTAAAACTGATCATACTTATGGATTCTTGGCACTCCATTTCCTCCTTTGGATAAGTTTTCTTTGGAAAAGAAAGGATTGCATGAATGCAGTCACATCTGTCTGTCCATACATCTATGCAGTCATCCATCTCCCAGTACTGACCAGGTCTGTAGATGACGGCCTTGAACTGGCACCTTTAATGAAGAATCAAGGGGTGGGCAACTTCTGTTTTGTCCTGCAGTTCCCATCTGCCCTCATCATTGGCTATATTGACTGGGGCTGGCAGGAGTTCAAGGCCAGGAGACCTGGAGAGCCAGACAAGTGTAGCTGATGAACTCCTTGCCATGCGACTACAGAAGATAGTGGTGTTGTGAGGATGTAAGGTTGACACTTCCTAACCACAGGGATGCTGCCCTCATCTGCCACTGCCATGCTCCTTCAGGCTTTTCTGCTCCCTTTGGCCTTCAGTCTTCACAAGAGCTGCAGAACTTTCCCAGGTACAAGATATTGTTCCTTGTGGCAATGGAGTTGGCTCTTAAATGAGCAATTAAGACTCATGAGCTTAACAAAAGAGCTGCGCGTAACAGGAAAGCTCTTAGAACTGGTATCTTGATGTGGACCGATGTGACTCCGTGCCCTTGACACCCTCCTTGGGGATGCAGCTACAGGGGTTGTAATGAGGAGTGCCCACCTTTCCAAATTTACCATTATGCCTCTGATCAAAGGACACGGGGGTGACATGAAAGAGCTGGAGGCTTTATGGACTAAATGACAGATATAGGAGAGGCTGGGTGAACACTCCTTTCTGCTGCAAGTAGGGAGATCTGGGAATGAACAAAGAGAGCACCTCGAATATATTATCAGGAGCTCTGCAGAACAGTCCTGCCGGCTGGAGTCAGACCATCGGCAATCCTGCACCGAGCATGGAGCTGGATTCCGCAAGAGGGGCCAACAAGCTGTGGTGGATTCTGCAGCCGCCATTTCTTGGATCAAAGGTGGGAATGTTCACCTCTCAGAGAAGTGGTGGCGGTGGAGCCCATCAGTCCTGAGCAACTTTCAGCACCACTATTAGGAGCTGGCAAAAGCCAAAGTATCAGACTGGTCCCTAGGCTGATCTAAGCAGGGATCCGAGCAAAGAGTGCAACTCTAGGCATGCCTACTCAGAAGAACCCCTATACTCAATGAGACCTTGTGCACGGGGCAATATGCACTTAAGACCACAGGGCAATTCTCTTCACTACTGGAGAATACAAGGAATTCAACACCGACCACATACATACACAAATAACAATAACAATTTCAATAATCAAAACGACCACAGTTATGTTATCATGAAATACAAGAAACTAGTCAGAATCAGAATGATGCCACATTTTTGAAAAGTTACCATATAAAGTCTCGGCAGTGAGAACAGTAGGTTGGTTGCCTAAGGTAGGTGGCCATGAACTTGTGCCCGTTAACCTGATGGACCCTGCGTCGCACTGCCCCCTGGCGCTTCCGGGGGCGCATCCGCTCCCTAAACACTCGCTCTTCATTGTCTTTAGGTGCTGGAGAGAACAAAAGAGAGAGGGGAGGGGAGAAAGGAAGGGAATGATGAGCACAGAAACATTCCAGATACAAAATCTGCGGAATGGGAGTAAACAACAGAATGCACAGGATGGGCAGTTGCAATTGCATTCCCACCCAGCCATGCCTTCATGCATTCCGGAATTCTGTGTGAGTGAAAACAGAAAAGCCAGAGAACAGGGTTGCCTGAGCTGGTTTTGCCCTCCTGGGTACTTCAATTCTAGCCCTTAAGGCTAGAATCGCATTGGTAACAACACATTTGGTTGACCACAGCATGAAGACAATGCCAGACTGAAGGGTCCTTTGTTTATTAGATTTGGAGCCAGGAAGGGATTCAGCTGGGTTTTCTTGGTAGTGAACCTGAAATACCTAGTTCTGAATTCATGGCCAAACCAACAGGCACTTCAGGTGCCCAGTGCTGTTGGCGTACGGGGGATATGTAGTCCCAAAGTATTCAGGGATTGATGTAATTAGAAGCTGGACAGCCATCTGAGTGAGATGGTGTAACATGGTGTCCTGCAACAGCAGGGGGTTGGACTGGATGGCCTTCATGGCCCCTTCCAACTCTTCTATTCTATGATTCTAATTGGCCAGGAGATGCTCAGAAATGCACATCACAGGCTACCCAGAGAACAGTGCAGGAACATCTTGAAACTAGGACCTTCTCTGCTGGTGCCACCCTTTTTATGGCAGATTCAAGAAATGGAGGCACTGAGGACTGGGGGAACCTCCAGGCCTTTTCCTGTTGTCATGGGGACTGCAATAGTACTTTGATCAGAATAAGGCTGAGTTTATTGGAGTTAATTTGAACCCTAGAAAGTCTGAGGCAAGCCCAATACAAAAGCGAAGTGGGGAGAGCTCAGCCATCACTACTTTTTGATTCATGGGGCAAACAGAAGCTTTAGTGCCTTGCATGGCTGCTTGCCCAGAAGGAAAATAAAATGTTGCAAATACAGGCAAATAAGAGGAAAGTGCATCTTCTGCATTAGTTACAGAAACTACAGCAGGGGTTGCCAAAGATCTTAGATTCTTGTGGTGAAATGTTTAAAGTTTTGGAGCTTTATGGTGGTACAGTAATGCAGGAGAAATAAAAGGGAATTCATGAAAGCTGTTTCAATGGGGAAATATCGCCAAACAGTGAACAATCTCTCTCACACTCTCATTTCTTACAAATACACACCTGTACCATAGGCCTGTACACAAATAATTCAGATGGCCTATACACAGACAGGGACAAATCTGTCAATGCAGGTTTCGCATTCCTTTGTTCATTCTTCTCTCCTGCATTTTAGTGACTTTTAAAATTTGCATGAAAATGCGTATTTATTTCTTCTCATATATATCTGTATGGACTTCTAACATACACATTTTTGCAAGCAGTTTTCCCTTTCATAATGCTTCTTCGACTCTTTTTATCACTAATATACACATTACTATCCATTCTTTCCTCAAATAAGGATGGAAGCTCTGTGGATGCCTTTATTGTTCAAAAACTTGCACTGTAAGATGCTGAGGTGTACAAACATTACAGGGTACCTGAATTCTATCCCTCTCATGAATCATATATTGATTTGGGAAGGACCCATTTGGTAAGTTTACACTGAGATGAGAACTGAAGGAGATCCCCCCCCCCCAATCTGTCTCTACGGAACTAACAGCAACGGGAGGAAAACAGGAGTGTTTACAGTATTGGACGACTGTTTAAAATAACTGTGCTAAAGCCTGTAGGAAGGGAGCTGGAAGTTTACATGATCAGAAGTTGAGACCACCCCCCCTCAAAAAAAAAAAAAAAAAAAAAAACTGGCTAGAACATTTTCCAAGCTTACATGAGATACATCCCATGAATAAACCCACGCCATTCATGCTGTTTCTGAGCTCTGCTTCCTCTCCAGAGGTCTGTTTCCAATGAAGGTACTGATTGAATATATGAACTAATTAGTGGCCTAGAAAGCATCATGGGTGCCACACTCCCTGCTTACCAAGTAACTGGTGACACAGTGCAGATCTGGATTAACCTCTTCTGTTTGTCTCCACAGGAGAGATGCATTGCCTTCTCTCTGTTATTAGGAATCAATGCCTGCCATCATGGAGGTTTGCTAATAATGACTTCTGAGTGTGACTGAGGTTGCCCTCACACCAGCGGCCCGGCATGGCCTCTTCTTGTTGCATTCCTGTCATGACATTTCTGCATTTAGAGCTGGCACCAGGTTTGAGGAGGTCGTGGGGGCTGGGGGTTGCTATGTTTATCCTCTCTGGGATTTAGTCTGAACTTTAGAGAAGCTATTCTTGGTACTGAACCTACTTTGGGGGTGGGGTTCAGCACTACAGGTAGCTCCTTTAAAGTTCAGGGTAAAACCTAGAATGGATAAAGCAGGTCACTGACATTGTAGGCACCAGTGCCCCACTGAAAGGAGGCCGTAGCACAGCCCCTTAGGTAGGCCCACTCTTAATTCATTGGCCAAGCAATGAGCTGCCGAGACAACGATCAGCAACAACACTGTGATGAGGGCTGGACCACCATTCACCCCATGATGCTGTATAAGCAACATGAAGGGAAATGGAACAGGCGGTTCCCAGGTGCAGTACGCTGGAAAACTACTGTTTCCAAGTGGAGGTACAGAGCTTCAGACCTGTGGTCTCAATCTGCCCCTCCTGGGTCCCAGTGCAGCCTGATGTGGCTTCCCAGAAGGTCACGATCCATCCCTGGTTCGACCCACTTTCCCCCAGTCACAGCTTGTTTAGCAGCTTCCTGGCAGTTTTTCTGCCAGTGTAAATGGTTGACATGCCTCTCCAAAGGTATACTGGCAGGAAGAGCATTCAGCTGAAATAAGCTGGTACCTTTTTTTGTATTTCTGATCTTGTTGCTTTCCCCTTTGGCCATGCCTGCTACTGGAATGCAGACCCTGAAAGCTTCTCTGAAATAGAATTTATCCCTTGGGCTGCAAGAGGTTCAACCCCCTTGGTTTAATGGGAAATGTGGCACCAGGAACAAGTCACCACTGACCTGGCCCTGCTGAGGCTGCTGTGGTCGGATGTCAGGCCTTCCCTGTAGCAGCAGAATCCTTGGCAAGGCTTTGGAAAGAAGGGACAGAGGTGGCCTCTGTCCCCACACTGCAACCCACACACCCAACTCCGCTCCTGCTGTTAAGTCTGCAGCAACTCACAGGAATTGGGTTTTGCTAAATAAATCACATTATGCCTCATTCTCTTAATGAAATGGCAGGATTTTCAATGCAAATTGAAAATGGCATGAACGTGAAGTGTCAGCACACTGTCTGCATCAGATAAAAAATAATTCTCAAGACAAGAAAACAAGCGATTCCATCAGCATATTCAATTCCAAATGCCAAACATTCAGCAAAATTTCTAGGGTTCCTTTAGGCAAGCAAGATAGAGCAAAACAGGCATGGGGTGGTGCGCCACCCAACCTCCTTTTTCCTGTTGAAAAAGTGCTAGTTTTCTTAAAAGGGGAGACTGCTGTTTCTTCCTTGCCTTCAGCAAGTATGTTAAAACACGTGTTGTGGGGTGTGGATGTGCGTGTGACACACAAAGAGTCCATGCACACAACGTTTTTTTGTTTCCGGCTGCAATTCCACCATCAAAGCAAAGTGGCAGGTTGCTGGGCTACCTCCAGCTGAGCTACCCTTTGCTGTGTGAGAGGCACTCCTTGCCCCCCCCCCCCTTTCTGGAATGTGGATGGAAAGCGCAGGACCAAGCTGAGCCTAGCCATGTCACTCAGAGGTGCACCGAAGGGGACATGCCCAAGGAATTGCCTTGAGACAGGTATTTCCCCAGGGTGGCAACACCCACATTGCCCTGGGAAAGTGTAATCAATTAGAAATTAACTAAAACAAATACTAGTAACATGAAAACGTTGATTTTTAATTCTGAAAGTTGGGATAAATATCTTACTCAAACACTATGCAAGCCTTCTGGGTTACAGAGATCTCCCTGAGAAACCCTTCTTTGCCCTCAAAGGTGTCACGCTGCACTCTGTGGCGGGGCCTTTTCAGTTGTGGCTCCCTGAGTGCATCATGCTCTCTTCAGCAGGGGAGCTCACTTAGGCCAGCCATTCCTAACTTGGTGCCTTTCTGATATTCTGGACTACAATTCTCATCAGCCCTAGCCAGCATTGCCAGTGGGTTCTGGAATGATGGCATTTGTTCTTCAAAACAACTGGAAGAACAAACAAGATGGCTAGATGGGCGCCAGCTGGGAGCCACACTGCACCAAATTCATATTCTTTTTCTTTTTTGGCATTTTTTGTTACTTGGTTTCTGGTTGCTTTGGAGAATTTTCATTTTTTTGGTATTTTTTTTGGAAACCATTACACAGAATACTGTATTATGTGTATGGTGCCTTTTGTTTCCACCTCAGCGGTCCCCAGGGTAGTTTTCCTGTTTTCACTGTGGAAAGGCTGGAAACCATTGGCCTAGATGACTTGTTCCAACCCTGCGACGCCAGGATTCTAACCACCTTTAGATACAAAATCCATAGCAGATGATCAGGTTAGGAAATATTACTTTGCAGTCAGAAGCTGTGCGTGGGCGACCGATGGAGAGAAATCTGTTTCTCCTGGATATTATCTCAATGTTGTCAGACTGGTTGATAAATACACGCTGGTATAGAACCGCAGCTAATTTTTCCTATGAATGTAGAAGTGGCAGCCCTCTCTAGCATCGTATAAACCCCCTGCGTTCACCCTAGCTCGGCTCTGACGAGTGTTAGTGGTCTGCTTCCTTGCTTCATCGCCAGCCTAAGGCACTAAGCCTGGACCAGCTCTGGCAGGCTTGCTTGCATCCCAGGCGTGCTGGTCTTGATGCTGGCCTGCAGCCAGCTAACACGATTTGTGCACAGAATGTCTGCAGGCATGTCTTATGCCTATCAACACCGAAAGCAAGAGGCCGAGTCATGCAACATGCATTCTTGCTACAAAGAAATCTATGGACAATTCCCTTATACCAGAAATTCTAGTAGCAAC